TTACTAATCATGCATAGGCTATTTTCTCTTGCATATTCACATGTTTTCCAATGAAACAAAATCTTTCACAAATTGTAAAATGAAAACATATTACATTAAAAAATAGACCAGGTAATACAATCGCACAATTAAATATCCGCCTTATGGCCTGTAAATAAAACATACGAGAGTAACTTATCTTTCGATGGTAGTGACGACATAGTGATTCATGTGGTATCAGTTGGGAGGCTTTGACGATATTAATTTGATTTGATCATCGAAACCTGCTTCCTTGGACCTGGTCCGCTGCAAAAAATGAAGGTCTTGCAAAGCATATAACAACATTGATTGGCTACTATTCATGCGCAATCACAGTTACAGAGGTATCATGAACTGATTGGCATGGTATAAAGATCTGTCACATAGTTGTCCATCTGTTCAGACTTATTCTCCGACACGGTCACGTCGCCTTTGCTAATTAGAGTCGTGGTGAATAATCACTTGATCGACTGTTAGTCCAGCTCAACGTTAGAGTTAACTAATGGGTGTCGTGATTTAGACCTTGCACTATTTGGGACAGCAGTTGCATATAGTATGAATGCAACTGGTGTATAAGTCAGATTAATTTATACAACATGATCACCGGGAAGTTTATGTTCGGCTAAACATGTTACTATGTTAAGTATCCAACTCGCCCAACCAGCCTTGATTTCACAACAATTGTGATAGATTCCTGATACTTCCTTCATGTATCTCAAATCTATTCTATTTCAAATCACAACCATAATACCATTCCTACAATGTTATTTTTCCTCATTATGAGCTTTTACTTCGTAACTGTTTAGGCTATAAAAATGCTAATAAATTATAACTACGACACGCTATTCAAGTTTCAGTTTCTTTTCATGTGTTGAGTTTATTTTTCAACGTTTGAGTTTTCATGTTGTTTTAAGAAATCAGGTCCACCAATGTGTCAAGCATTCAATAATTATGATAATGAACCAAATAGACATTATGAAGAACCAATTATCTTTCAATGCGAATACCGTTGATCTCTCCCTTCTCTATTTTGATGTGAATGTCTTCATTGTCAAAATTATCCTAGCTGCTTCAGAAATTATGGTGGCGTAGATGTTGTCACAGAGATCTTAAAGTCGGCACGCTTGCCGATTACACTGAATCTATCCCCTTGTGGCTTTTGCCTCAATGACTTTGTAACCGGGGGCGAGTTATCAAAAGAACCATTCTTTCATCCTTTACGAAGATAGTCGAGTCGAGAACGATGTCTTGCTCGTTAACTCATAACCAAACCTTGTAAGTATCTAGAATTTTATACTGCAAAGAATAATCAGTTTAAGCTTCAAACTAGTGTTACGATAAAAGCAGATTGTTCCCTTCCTGCAATACTATTTCGGTCAACAACCAAGGTGTAAAAATAATTAGTACTATTGTAGAGGTTAACGCAAATAATTACTGCCACATTATTATTTAGTAATTCAAGTTGTCCTCACTAACAACCTGACTTCAGTAGCAATATATCATATTAACTAATGAAAAATAGAAAGGATTGTGATGATGATATAAAGTAATTTAATCTAGTGGAGGATCTATAACACGGTGTGATGTTACTACTCGTGAGAGTCGTGAAAGGGTTGATCTTTAGGTCTATGTTAGTTTTGTCGGGCCTCACGGTGGACGCAAAATATTCTTGCGAAAAACACTAAACGAGTAACTTCCCTGTAGGAATAAGGAGAGTCGCAATAGGGTAGATTTCTGTATGATTTTGGGGGATTTGGATGCTACGCTGATGGCACGTATTTGAAACAACCGGCCGAACATCGATTGATAATATATCAATGAAGCCGCCATCAGATGTTTTTTTATCCCATAGGAAGGGAAAGGTGAACATCGAGAAAACCTGAAGGGGGTGAAATCACGATATTTCGACCAAGAGATCGGGTAAGGAAATCTGTTACGCAAGAGGAAGGTGTTAGAACCCCTCACGCCTATGGTACTTCATGGTATCCACTCTTGTTTTCTACTTCTAAGGGTGTGTTTAAGTCATGTCTATGATTAAAAGAGAAAATGAAAAAGGAATGCGTGAAAAAAAGAAACACGGGGAAAAGAAAGAAGTATTTACAATTTGTGCTTGGTTAGGCTCCGCAACCTCTTGCCTACGTATCCCTTTTGAGGAATCAGAGCACGGTAGTTCAGCTCACATGTTTTGGTTTATTTTGTATTTTTAATGGAACAATATTAAGTTCATATTCTACCTGCAGCTCGGCCTTTGGAGACTCACGCATCTGGAGTAGAAAGGAATTAACATGCTAAAAAAAATGTCTGGAGGTAGATGATGCTATATTCGCAACTCTAGTAAGTAGACATGATGCAACCCGACCTTTGGAGAATTACACGTCGTATTACATAGAGGGGAAAAATAAAATATCTATTTTGAAGTTTGAAAATCCAAGAGGCGAGAAAAGAGTTTGAATTTGTTGGTGTTTTTTACCTTGAAAAAGGGTTTTTGTATTGTTAACGTGTTTTAGAGTTTGCCAAAAAAAGGAGCTTTAGTTTTAGTGCACATGCCAAAGGGGAAGAAAAAAGTCTAAGGGAGACTAGCCTAGTTTTTAATCCTAATGTAATGATACAATGATGGTCCTATGATTCGGATTGACAAAGAAGGGAAATTTCTACCTAATATTGTCATACATGGATAACAAACCTAGTGCCCATCTGGAACACACTCATCCGAGTGTTAAACCAACCTAAGGTATTCTAAGAACAAACTCATTCGAGAATGAACCAACCTAGTTGTTATTTGGAATACACTCATATCAAAAGTAAACCAAAGGTCCTAAGGGAGCACGACATAAATGACAAAAGTAAATGCGGCATGTACACTAGAATAAGCGCATATGAAAATAAACTGGGTAACACCCATTTGAAACATACTCATATCGAGAATCGAACCAAAACGAAAACCTCTTAGGAACACCCCATACGAAAGTGAACTAGGCGAATAATATTTGAATATATCTTCTTTTTTTATGATTCTTTTTACAAAATGTAAAGTGAGAAATGCAAATGGGACAAACTCATATCGAGAATGAACCAAGACCAAAGCCTCTGAGGAACACTCCATACAGCAGGTGAACCAGACGCACAATATCTGATATGTCTTTTTGTAACTTTGCTAGAATTGTAAACGGTAAATATAAAAGGAACACACTCATACAAGCATGAACCGACCAAATCCACTGGGAACAAACTCATATCGAGAATGAATCCAAGACCAGTCCAAATGGACCGAACTCAAATCAAGAACGAACCAAATTGTACAAGAAAGTAAACACACGTCCGGAATCGCCTATTCAAAGATAAGACTTTAAACAATCACAATTAGCATACAGAAAGCAGTGCCTTCTATAGGATTTTAAATAGATACTTCGAACGCACACTCTTCATTTCCTACTTTTCATGATATCTAGAAAGCTATAAAGTGCGGAAAAGATAAATCGGAGTCAGAATGATACCGAACGAACAAAAGTTCATAGCACATCAAGCAAATCAGAGAAACCCGGAAATTTTTGAGGGAGCTTCACCAAGCAACAGAGAAGAGTCCTGAATCAAATGCTCGGAATAAGCGTCGAAGCATCGTTGATGTGAAAATAAATCATCAGAAACTCAAGCACATCTGCATAAGACTTAGATCTCGATTAGCAAAGGTGAATCACAAAAATTAAGTAATCGGATAATCATGAATTAATTCATAAAATTAAACAAAAAATCTAACAAATTTTAATTGATTTTGTAATTTTCATCATGTGGAAAAAGGTCAAACAAATCTAAGCAATTAACAAAATTATTCAAAAGAAAATTGCAAATAAACAAAAAAAAAAGCCCAAGGGGTGCAAGCTGGAATCCAGCTGGTATGATAAAGCAGGGCGCTAGGCCCAACAGTATGAGCCCAAAGAAGTTTTTTTGAGTGTGCTTGCTTCAATGACCAACAAAGTGGTGTTGGGCTTCAGGATGCAAAATGAATAATAGGCCCAGCGGAATCAAACTCAGTCCACAACACTCTATCCATCATTCATTTTTTTAATTCTCTTATTTTTTAACAACTTATTCAAAAAAAAAGTGAGATAATGTCGTTTTGGAGGATAGGGTTCACAGAGATAATATGACTCTCAGACTTCATCGTTCAAGCCCGACCCCTTCCTCTCTTAAACTCAAACACGGTGCAGATAACTCGTTATTTTCTTCTTCGCGGCGGTGAACTCCCACTTCTCATCTCTTCTTCGCCGCATCATCGGTACCACTCGTCTCAATCTCCGTTTCAATCCTCATCCCCTCAAAGTCTAACAGAAAGCGAACGAAACACGAAACTAAAGTCTCTATTGAGTCCCGATGTAGCCAACTCCAGCCATGAAGCCTTAGGGCTTTTGCTCTAAATAACCTTCTCTACAAATTGGTAACACGAATCGAACGCAATGGTGAAGAAAAGTGAGGATCCGAGTCTTACCGGTCGGAGATGCTCCGACGACACTTCAAACATATTGAAGATGACAAGAAATTTAGAGATTCTTTATTCAGGTAATAATTTGCGATTTTATGCACCGAATCTTCTTCCCTTCCCTTTCTGTTTGTTCTGTGATTTATGAATGGCGAAGAGTTGTTGTCTCGGTAGAAAGTTAGTTAGGATTGAATTGATCTGAACCCTTAGATCTAGATTTCTATTAGGGAAATTGAAGGGTATAGATTAGGCGGTTAGAGAGGTTTAGAAATCTGTTATGAATGAGCTGGAATATTATTTCTGATTTTTTGATATTCTCAATTGTGAACTAAACCATTCTGATGCCTCTCTATTTATCATATGGTTTTTTCTGATATGTGCAGGGCAATAACAAACCCGATTATTCCAGCAGGCCAAAATATACATCAGATTTAGGTGGTAGTCAGTTTAGTACATGAGTAAACTAAAATGACACTAGCAGGTTCGCAGCAAGGCATGTTAGCAAGTTATGGTAATCAATTTCTTTGGTTCAAGAGGTGATATTGGCAATTGGTTTATTTGTGTGAATTTTGACTGTACGTGTCAGAGTTTGATAGTGCTATTTATGCTTTGGTCTTTTTCTATTCGCAACATGGTTGCGGTTTTATTGAACACTTGCACTTGGGATTTTTGTGTTAATATTTTTGAACTGGTTACAAACTATTCATGTATGTGGAAATTTGAGTATGTGTCCCATGTTAGCCCCTGTGGATTGGAGATGTGTGTAAGATGTGATTGACACTATTTCAGAACTTCTTCTTGTGGACTGTTTTGGACAGGGTTTGGAGTGAAGCTTCCTGGTCTTTGATGAAAGCAATTGAAGCATTGGAGGATGGAGTTGTAAGTCATAAAGCATGGTTGACAGACTCTTTGGGCGTGGGATAACAATTAGCACAAGAAAATGGGCAATGTAAATGGTGGATTTTCATTTATTATTTGGACATGACATGAAGGTTACTGATGAAATTTTGGTGAAGTCTGAAATTGTATTATAGCATGCTGGATGTTGAAATGAATTTGAATGAGATTAGATAAACTTTGGATAATGGAATTATGGTTATTTGATTATGAATGTAGTTTGATGGAACTTGGCCTTATTGTCTTTGTCCCAAATTCAAAACTCAATGAACCTTACTTATGAATCTTTTACCAATTGAATCCCATGAATCTTGTTGAAAGATTCTTTCTCGTTCCATATAGTCTTCGTGTAACTTCCATGCTTGCATATTGTAAATCCTAACTTGATATTTGAATATCAAGTTCATCACAAATGGCATCCTAATCCAAATTTAATTGAAGAAGATGCAACTAATTCCATAGTCAATACCTCGAAGTCTAAATAACACGATGAAATTCTTGATTAATAAAGGGTAGTCCCAATGACATCTCAATGCATCCTGTGATAATTCTTGACAAAACTATGTCTTAATTGATGAACACAACATAATAGTAGATGTCTTGTTCCCATGATAATAGGGCTAATAATATGCATGTATGTATATATGATGATGAAACACAAGTCAATTTGAAGAGGGTAAATTTTTGGGTATAACAACTGCCTCTATTTAATCTCTTTTAATCCGATAAGTGAGAAAAAGAGATGGCTTTCGAGCGTTCAAGGTGGAATAGGATTGAATACTTAAAAGACCTAAAAATTTGCGCTCTGAGTGACGGGAACACAACAAGCTGGTAGCTGTATTGTTTGTAAAAGGAATGATTTTTTTTGGATATGACTTCGCGGGTATTGATGAAAAAACGACGGAGTTTCGGCTCCGGAGGAAAAGATGTTACGAATGCTGATTTGTGATTAAGGCAATGAGTAACAGACTCAACCTAAGAGAACTAGAAGCGAACTAGACTCTGGAAGAAATATCAGAATGATTCGAAATTCTGATAACTAGGTAACGAGTGGCGGACTCGATCTAAGGAGATTAGTAGCAGACTAAGCTCAAAGGGAACATCATAATGATTCAAAATTCTGATAACTAGGTAATGAGTGACTAACTCGATCTAAGAAGACTAGTAGCGGATTAGACTTCAAGGGGAATATCATAACGATCCGAAATTCCGATAACTAGGTAACGAGTGGCGGACTCGATCTAAGAAAAAAATGACATATTGACTATCCTCGATTACCATAGCCCATTGACACGCTAAGGAAACATTGGTGGGAACTGAGAGGTATGAGTAGAGACCTCTACCTAAGAAGGGAATACAATAGTCAAAGTGAGGAGTTTCGGCTTGACGGAGTACTAAACATGACAACAAATGAGAGGGCTTGGATCCTAAAGCAAAATGCTAGAAAGTGCGTGTTTTCTAAAAGCACCTGCGAGTCTCGACCGGGGATTTATAGACAATTTAGATGGTCTGAGGTTACCAAGGTGTAAAGAAGGAGACCTAGGGTGAGTATCAAACTCGGCTCACAGAGATTAGGTTTTTAGTGACTAACTCAACTTGAGACTTAGCAAACGAGTAACAGACTCGACTCAGGAGACTAGTGGCCTACTAGAGTGAGTACCAGGACGACACTTGATTTCACGCCCGGAGTTCAACTGCCATGGACCATCTGCACGATATAAGAATGCTGGTGGAGTCGAAATAAGGTAATGAGGGGCGACCTCTACCTAAAGGAGATGATAGAGCTCCGAGGAGTATCGATGATAGAGTTGGACTCAATAGGTACATCAATAATCAGCAGGGATGACCTAAGAGAGGATGATAAAAACCCAAAGAGATGTGCCAGGAAAAAACTGGGCTTAAACAGCTACCTCAACAATCAGCGGAGATGACCTAAGATAGGGTGAAAGAAACCCGAAGAGATATGCCAGGACAAACTGGGCTTTGACGGGTATATCAACAATCAGTGGAGATGACTTAAGAGAGGCTGATAGAAACCCAAACAGATGTGCCAGGACGAAACTAGGCTTAAACATGTACATCAACAATTAGCGGATATGACCTAAGATAGGGTGAAAGAAACCCGAAGAGATGTGCTAGGATAAACTGGGCTTTGACAGGTACATCAACAATCATCGAAGATGACCTAAGAAAGGGTGATAGAAACCCAAACAAATGTGTCAGGACGAAACTGGGCTTAAACAGGTACATCAACATTCATCAAAGATGACCTAAGAGAGGGTGCTAGAAACCCAAACAGATGTTCTAGAATGAAATTGGGTTTAACAGGTACATCAACAATCAGCGGAGATGACCTAAGAGAGGGTGATAGAAACCCAAAGAGATGCACCACGACAAAACTGGGCTTTCCAGGTGAACACCTGACGATTTGGTAGTAATTGGTAAAAAGATACTTGAAGAATTGAAATATCGAGGGTAAAACAACTTCGTTGAGGATATAATCTGAAGCTTTCATTTTAGAAACTCTACTGAGAATAACAGAGAGAAACTATGGCTTATGTTTCAATGCATGCTTGAATTATTTTTCTATGGAGTAATGTCCCAAGAGAATGAAAACACTACACTTTGAGGATGCAATGCGATGACGCATGTTTAAGTGTTTCACTGAGGATTATCAGGTCGAATAACCCATCGCTGCATTGTATGCTGATAAGATTGGCAGAAATAAATTGCGCTCTTTACTGAAGAATATGTCTGGTTGATCAGTATTTTGAAAATGACACCCTCAGATGTGGGGCGTGGCTTGGAGAAGCCACATACATGTATCGAACCTGTGAGGAATCAAGATTATTTTTGAATTTCTGGGGGAATGATATGTCAACCTCTCGCCGGAGGTAACAAAGCTTGCGTTGTAGAAGAAATTTCATCTATCATGTAAGATGGAACAAACTTCACCGAGGAAGGAAGATAATCCTTGTGAATGAGTTGTATCGGAGATATTTGATCTTCAAATATAAGGATGCAAAGGCGCGTTTCTCTGGGGGTGACAGGAATCCTTGAGTTAGAGAAGATTTAAATCTTGGAGTCGGTGAAGACTCGATGACAAACTCCACTGGGGAATACATGTTCTCACTCGGGAAGAGGAATGAAGTCTTGGTAACAAAAAACCTGAAGTGCCTACTTCATCGGGGGTAATCTTCGATTCTGGATACCTTCCTTATCAGGGAAAGGGTATAATATTCCAAAACTATTTCATGGTGTGATTCCACTGGGGAATACATGTCCTCACTCGGGAAGAAAAATAGTCTTGGTGACGAAAATCCTGAAGTGCCTACTTCATCGGGGATAATCTTCGATTCTGAATACCATCCTTGTTAAGGAGAGGGTATAATCTGCCATAACCATTTCATGGCATGATTCCACTGGGGAATGAGCATCTTCCAGGAAATATCTCAAATGAGGCAAATCTGTTGGAAAAAGGAGTGAATTTGAGCAAAAGTTCCTTGTTTGGTGACCTTCTCGGGAATGAAGGAGCTTTTTAGGCCTTCGTCTTCAGGAAAACAATTTTGTTTTAAGAAAACAACTTGCTGGGGAGCGTTTCCATTTAGGAGAACGACTTACTGAGGAACGACGTCCCGAACAATAAACCTTGGGAAGGCATCTTCGCTAGGGGACACTGATCTCGAATCATCAGTGACTTCAAATCAGGCTTCTGCTGAATAAGGGTGACAACCTCCCGACCAGGAATCTTAAGGAGACTTTGTCGGGAAATGCTGAAGATTTTGTGCTGACAATCGGAGATGCTTCGCTGAGATCTCACGAATTACGATTCACTGGGGAAGCTCTCTGTTCTTCCAAATTCTGCAACTGTTAAACATCACCTTTGCATGAGATGACTCACTGAGAATGGAAATTATGCGTAAGGAAGCATAGAGTATATCAGAGAGAATGCAGATTTCACCGGGAAATATTGACTGCATTGGGTAAATTTCCTATTCCAAAGTTGTTGGCGAGACAAAGGCTTTGACTGGAGAAAACCTCTTTGCTCGAGGGATCGACTAGGGAGAAGCGACTCCATATCGGGGAGAACTGTGGACTTCACAGGGGATTTTCAAATCTCCGCCAGGCTTCACCAAACTATTCATTGAGGAGAAGAAAGACTTCACCAAGGAGTAATCTTCATTTGGGGAGAAAAGACTTCTTGGGAATATGGATTACACTGGAGAAGTGCAGAATGGACCGGGGAGCTCATGATACCAAAGATTATTGGTGACTGCTGCTGGAGATTGAATTACTTTTAACCTGATTGTTTTTATCTTGTATGACAGAATTTTGCTTGAGCACCTTTACGAGATTGAAGGGGGAATGCCTCTGTCTGGAGGATCTCTAAGAGGATCTATGCTGAATAGAAGACCAGAATATCCATGGAACAATATGATATGAGGTGGTTTGTCCCAATGTCTTGAGTCACAAAATAAATTGTCTCTGATTAAAAATTTCTTGGAGAGATTTTTCGAATCTCAATGTAACTTCCCCAGGTTGAATGAATTATGAATATATTTCTCAACGTGATAGCCTCAAAATGATTGGCAAAAGCTTGAAGAGATTTATCGTCGTGATAGCCTCAGAATGATTGAGTATAGCTCGAAGAGATTTATCAACGTGATTTCCTCTTAATGATTGAGTATAGCTCGAAGATATTTATCGATGTGATTGCCTATGATTTGACAACTTTGAGGGAATGTCCCAGATTTGGAAGAGCTCGGAGAGATCGAATATCGACTTGATTGCACCAGATCGGTGGAATCTACAAACTTCATCCCTAAAGGGTACTCAGATTGTAAAGCACCAAGATGTTTTCGCTTAACAAAATCTCTAGGC